AGGTTCGTTTTGCATTTACCAACTTGCTTCATATATGGCACCGACTGGTGAGATATCCGATTACGTATTAAAAGATGAGTATAGCCTGCACCCCGCTCACTCCGGTTTCACGGCTACAAGACACGGCCGTTAAAAGTAGTAGACATGTAGCGGTTACAGGTTTTCGATCACAAGTGTATTTGTAGCATTGATCGCGTATGGGGGAATCACCATGTCCGCAGTGTATAGGTTAAACGTTAGATACTAAGGAAGGAAGGAAAGTCGGACGATTAGGCTTCGAAAATTCGCTATCTGAGGTGAGTGGGAGAACTTGCGTTGGGTATGCTGAGGTACTGCTTATCTAAACGTTCAATGTTAGCCGATTTTGGACTGAGTTGTAAGGGGGTTCAGGGTAACCAGTTTAAAATGTCACACCAGTGAGTGAAATCTCTGACTGTTGGTCTGAGTCGTGTAGGAAGGTGTGGACTTAGGGGCTAGGATCCCGGAGAGGAACTCTGGATGTGTGGTACTCAGAAATTCGGCGATGAAGCTGCCTCATTCGCACTCCCAATATAACCAGCTCCACAGAAACATTTGAACTGATAAACTCATATGGAATCAGCAGAATCAGGCATTCTGTCTTTGTTTCTTTCACATATAACCGCGCAGTTGTAGAAGATGAGACATAATTTAGCAGATGTAAATATATTTCGCAAAGCTCTTTTTATGCATTGTATGATAATTTCACTAACAATGTCACCATTCAATTCTAGTTTCAAGAAGTTTTGCTTCCCTGGAGCTCTGGAGAACTGTTTCGCCCTAGCATGAAACTCCTTAGCGGTGCTCCCCCATTGCCCTGCATGTGGTTGAACCCACGACCATCAGAAGTTATGTGACTTTTTTTTACAGAATACCTAAAAAATCCATTAACAATTTTTCATACCATTTCTTTGAGAAGTAATACATATCTGACTTTAAACAATGCCCATTTATTGTCTATTGATACTTGTAATTTCCCGTTGGCATAGTGGATGGAATTCCTTAGCCTCTGTTAGCTGATTGACTCTCATGCGAATGTCTTGATACCGCTCGGATAGTCATTATGCTATAGGCCGCTTGATAACCACTGGGTCCCCAGTGGCCTATTAGGTAACGCTCTGGCGTTTAAAGCTATGGGTACTGAGTTTGAGTCTGATTGGGTAAACCGTCAATCACTGGGGTACAGGTACATCCAGCTGACTTATGAGTCCTGAACTAGATGAAACTCGCGTCCCAGATTACTCTGCTACCCACCATGTAGATTACAACATAATACCCATTTACTTTGAAGGACTCTAAAGATCATCATAGAATGTCCTAAATGAATTAAATTTCTTGATTTCATCCGGAGTGGTGAATATTTATTAAATTGCGAAAAGTAATTAGTTATTTTAGTAGTTGTGTTTACGTTTCCTTATTTCACTTGATGAAAGGAACTACTTGTTTAGCTGAAATAAAAGCAATGAATTGATTGTTTCATTATAGTTTCTGGGATAGGATCTAAAATCACTCAGCATTTTATCATAACAAACGGTTGCGATTCCCCTACGTCCACCCTATCTGATAATCTGTTTTTGGAGCTGTGACTTATTGGCTCGTAAGCACTTTATTTTCAAACGATGGGTCGTGGGATTGAGCCTAACGTCGCCTACCAGCGTATCAGCAGCCCTCCAGGACTGGTCTGCGTTGTCACCTTGTCTGAAAATGGGTGGTGAAGTGGTTCGCTGTGTTGAAGTTCTCATTTACTTTGGAAATCTGATTAACTACTCTTGATTGGCGACTGACGAAATCGCTGAATAAGTATGGAGAAGTTCGCTCGAACTTTGATATTTATCACGTTACCGTGGCTTATTATTGAGAAAGCGTTCACACTGAGTACGACTAATAAACGTATTCTTATGTGAAAGAAGTCTGGGCTGTTGCTACGCACACAGTGACTTATAAGGATACTATAGAGTGGAGGCAGAGTGACACTTCTCATATCCTAAATTACTCTGGATAGAGGGAGAAATTGACTACTGAATGTTTATTCATCGAATCAACGTCGAACATGTGTGTAAGAGGAATGATTCATCACATATTTCAGTTATCTTCCATCTCACTCTCACAATCTTGAATAAACCTCTTTAATACATTTATGACTCATTGGTCTAGGCGCTTGATTGAATCCCAACCAATGGGATACGGGTTCCAAGCCACTTCCATTTGCCAAGGTTTAGACACCCATTAGGTAAGTATCATTTTCTGTTACACAATAAGTGTATGGTTCATTGCCTATTGTATGTTGTTCACATGGTTACTGAATACGGAGTTGAGGTTTGATCAGACTTATTACGACACCTTCAGTTATGTGGAGAACCTGCTGGCTAATATTTTCGGGACCCGGAGTTTGACAATAAGAGCTACTATTATTGGTATCTATATTGTTGCCTCTTGTGTCTACCAGAAATGCTAAGAATAGATTATTATGCGATAAAAATCATCATGTAAACATTAGGTGTTATAGATTCATTTAAACCAGTGATAATTGCAGCACATTTCAGTAAGGTCACAACCAGAAAGAAGGGTACTCATTGTAAGTGTGTGTTTGTGTGTGCGTGTGTGTTTTGAGGTGATCGATATTCCCTGAAGGAAATCTGTAGTTGTCAAATGCGTCTCAATGTTTTCAGATGAAGTCGACAAATATCCTCGTGCTCGTGGATCCCATCTGCTTAGTCGTATCGCCCGCCTTAAGTTTCACAGGGATAATTCAATTCACGATCTTCTTAAGGTCACTTTGTGTACCAAACTTGAATGTTAACCTGAAAGCCTTGTTTCATCAGCTGTTTTGATATTCTTCCTTTATATGAGTGATACTTTCATCCTGTGCGAATGGAACATAGATAGGTCAAAGGATATTTGGCAGATTCGATGCAGTACAGCATCCAGAGACGAAATTTACGTGTGAAGAGGTGTCAGAAGACGAAATAGCTTTTCTTGATGTTCTTCTCTCACAAAGAATAAATGGATACGTCGATAAAAATAGTTGTTTAGGAAACGTATATGGATGGGGCAATAGACACATTTTTTAAACTTCATCCTTCTTCAGCACCAACACGATTTGATAAAGATCCGAAGTTATAGGATAAAGATTGTATGTTTGTAATATACAATTGTGGAGGAATTGACGATTTTCCCTGAAACAGTAGTCGAAAATGGCTGTCTTGACGAATTCATGAAGAAACATACTATTACAAAAATACCAAGAAAAGACATTCCACTGGCGGCTAGCAGAAAACTGTTACACATTCGGGTAATGAATCTAATGACTATGCAAATTGATTCAAAAAACGTTTAATACTGGTAAATTACAGATTACTTTTTCCACACCGCCAATAGTGACACCGAAACTGAACAATAAATTGCCTAGATTGGCCACTTCCTGTTGTATTTATCAGTCCGACTGCTCCTATAGAGCTAGTTACGTCACTCACTGCTATACAAGTTTAATTTTCTGTGCTCGTGAACATCTCCTAGTGTGGTTAAGAAAAGGTGCGGTAAGGACCATTACTAGCTCCATATTAAGAGACATAGTTCAAACGAACCGTACGGTGGATATGAATAAGTCAGTTCTCATTAGTTCTCGGGTTCTTATCAACTTACCAAAGGGTATCAGGTTCAGAATCCTTCAGGCTGAAGAAGCGGTGGTAATTGGACTAAACAACGTGAGTTATGTGCTTAGAACTGCAGAAGGAAATCTCATCAAAATTACGAAATGTGGACGTAGCTAATTCTCCTTGTTCATCCTCCGACTGGAAAGTAAATTGTATCCCATCTTCCACTGAGTTCGTGTCTGAAGAAGATACAAATAATGTCCGAATGTCGATGAAGTAAATGTATCATCCACATATCTTGGTCATACTTTCTAGGTAGGATTGAATATTTGAAAAGCCAAACATTCCTAAATTGTCCATAGAAGCATCTGTTTCGATTGGCGATAATGGGGATTTCATGACTACTCCTTACGTTTGTTTATAAATATATTTCATCTTGAAATTTAAAAACTGTAGAGACGAGACAATGGGACATCTTATATGATGTCTTCAATCGGCATCTTAGTTCTGTGAGCGATTGATTTGTCCGCCTAATAAAGAAGTTGAACAAAACATGCCTAGCAGCGGTTTTTCTTGTGAGGTTGCGACTGTGGGAATACTCTCATTCCCTAACAGTAACGCTGTATCCTATCTCTCACTGCTTAAGGCAGATAACGTTTCTAAAGTATTAAGGAGTGTTCAATCGTAGGAAATGACAGAAAAATACAGTTTGCAGCGAAGAAAAATATTTATCACGTCAAAGTCATTTACTTAACTGTACACTCTGGTCAGGGGTAAAAATATATTTAAGACTGTGTGTCCACTCGGCAACCTTGTGCATAATCGTGCAGTAGGCAGTAGAGCCGTACTTATTGTGTGAGGGTTCTGATACTACCTGGTTGTCCACACCTCGGTAGATGAAGCGGGCTTCGAACTCGTGACCCAGCTGCTCAGACCATTGAGCCATAGCTTCGTGGGTAAATAAGAGGTATATTAGGAAAATCAACATAATTACAAAATATAGGTGTGGCTATCAGAGATAGCCCTTTTTTAGCAGACTTGTATTATTGATACTGAGTGATGATTGAAGATGAAATAAAAGTCTACGTCGCGTTGGTCGTTGTTTTGAATCCTGCTGTTACCCAGATTTTCATTTGACCTTCAGTCATCACTAAGTATCAATAACTACAGAACAGGTGATTTATCTAAGACAGTCAAGGGTTGAATGAACATTTTTTTGGACATATAGCCCTGATTTGAACTTCTGGATGGCTAGTACTTCATGTTTACTCAAATATCTTGATCTCACTCTCTTTGAGTGTCTTGATCGATCCTTGCAGAGGATTTTGAAAGTGTTCACGAAAAGATCTAGCTGACTGACTTGAGTTTACAAGGTGTTTAGTTATCGAGGTGGAGATGAATTTATCTTTGTGATTTCCCAGCCAAGCTAGGGACTGTTCTCGAGAGCGTGTTGGAAGCCGGTACATGGTACTACCAATGCACTCAGTTCCACATGTGTAAATAAAATTAGTATATGCATATAGATGTAACCGAATTTGTCAGTTTATCTTCGATATTTTTACCAGAAAGTTTCTTCCAGGAGAAGATGATTCGAAGTTTAGCAGCGGAGTATGTTTTACTCAAGGGTCTTGATGGCCATTTCTGACTTAAAGACTCAGCAAAAGAATCTTGGTTTGCTTGCGTTTTTTGGCTTTACTTTCTAATCTATGTATCTAAGTAGGAAACCATTTCCTACTAGAGTTATTCGCAGACTTGGCAGTTCTCAAGGAGATCAACTCAGATGGTATTGGTTCCTGTGAGCTGGAGGGCTGTACTCTTGTGCAGGAACCAACAATTCCTCTCTAGTAACATAATCCAGTCGTATCTATTATTTCTTTACATATTTAGTTATTCAGCCATGTATTACTGATTATAACTCAGTAGTACACTTTTGACAGTCGAAAACATCACATGTCAGAGACGGTTTCATACTCCGTACTAGATCCTTCAAGAAGAGCACGGCTTTGCTATTCGTACACTAAACGGATATTTTGGGTCATGTTGTACAAACAAACCAACTTTCTTCTTTCATTTTATTGTTATTCTTGTTGTTAAAACACGTTATTATTATAATTAATTTTCAGACAAATATTAAACCATATCCAACCGATTTGATAAGAATTGAATTTGACCATACAAGATGTCGATATTATACACAAATAGACGCTGTACGTTTATCTGGTTGGGCTGAACTACCACTGGCTACATCACGCTGTTCGACGATTGGACAACTTGAAGCCTCAACACCGTCGCCTATTGATGTCAGTTCAGTAATTAGTCCACAACAATCAAGTTCTCATATACATAATGCTTTGTCATTTTTCTCCGATTTACTTCAACCGTGTACATCACTCCTAACAGCCTCCACTTATGATGTAAGTGTTGATACTGATGAATTGATTTTAAAGTAAAGTACGCCATCTATGGCACCGCCGTGATATCCGTTTGTCTACTAAGACTAGCGTGTACTGCGTAGCAGTCTGGTCTCTTCTACTCTATGGCTGTGAAACATGGCCATTGAAGGTGGAATACATGAGAAGGCTTCAAGTGTTCGACCACCGTTGCCTTCGTAGTATAGACCGTGTTTTGTGGTGTCACTACGTGAGTAATGCAGAAGTCAGGTGTAGAGTTTTAGGGAGTAGAGGTAAATCAGTTGACGAAGTTATGAACCTTCATCGATTGAGATGGTTGGGACACGTACTACGTATGCCTAACCACCGATTGCCTCGTCACACAATGTTGGCCAAAGTATGCCCAGGCTGGAAAAGGACCGAGGTGGCGAGACTTAAACATGGCATCAATGTATGAAGTCTCTGACTGTTGGTTTGAGCCATGTAGGGCGATGCCGACTTGGTGGCTGGGGTCCGCGGGACAAGAGAAACCAGTGGTTGGAGACTCTAGGCGGTATGGCTCAGAACCGAAGTCAGTGGTGCAGATGTATACATACATTATCCTCATCCCAACTCTTTACCGAATCTTACCATTTTGTCATTCTTCGTCTCTCTCTTCTCGTACTTTATTTTTCTTCTGACTGAATTTTCATATCCTCATCTTTCACTTCACTACCTTTCTACTTGATGTAGTGATATGACGTGTGGCAACTTGGACCATTACGCAGTAATGCCTGGTCCTATGTTGTTAGTGATGATGATGATGAAAGTAAACAAAAACATTTTGAGTTCTGTTTTCGGTGAAGTTACTTCTTTCCTTGACTCATTATCAAGGTGTACAATGAAGATTTGACTACGTATGTTAGAATCACTAAGTGAGGTGTGTTGAAGCCAGACGAGGCGTACTAAATGAGGAAAGCAAGTTGGCAAGTCCCTGACTCTTGATCTGAGCCATGTAGAGAAGTGTCGATCATCTGGCTGGTTTGCATCCCCGAAATCATAGGAATCAGTGGTTGAAGACTCTCAGTGATACGACTGAAAATAGTTAACCATAACAAAAATGTATTCACTCTTTGACGTCTACTAAAGCTTGAATGTTTTAAATAACCTTAATTTTCAAATCCGTTCTCCTACCATGCACGTTTATCTACTTTGCAATCACTCTTTCTCTACCTATTTGTTGATTGGAAACTGCTGTGAAGTACGTCAAATTGAATGGATCTGCTAATGTGCAAAGTTGTGCGCTGACTTTATCTGTTTGTTTATGGAATATGCCATGTACAAACGTAATGTACACCGTCCAGTACTCCTATGCAATTTGTTAGGCCCTAGCAGGCAAGATAACGTACGGTTCTATAACCGAGTGCGTAGTAATAACATGAACGATGATAACACGATGAGATGCCAATGCCGACTGTTCTCTCTCATTGAACTGCAAAACTCAGAACACAAAGACCACTCTGTGACTAAAAGAAAGACATTTTGTTCCACAAAAATACATCATTTATATAAAACAGTTTTCATGAGAATATAAATTTACTAGGTCAGAAGTTAAATGACTTGTACCCAAAGGCCCGCTGTAGGACAAAATTTTCCAATGGAATTTTTCTTGACCACACAGTCAAATGAAACAAAAGTTTAGACTGAAAATTGTGAAAACTTAAAATGTTGATTTCCATTTAGTAGGTTAGTTTTGCTAAATAAGCAAGGTTATCACCGTTTTTGGTTACGATTTTGTTGCTGTATAAGATATATTTTAACAGTTGTTTCTATATGTGATAAGATGGTTTCAAAAAGTTGTTTGGCAGCATTGTAGGTAGGTTTCGTTGGTATTTGTTAGTAATGTTCATCAGTAACCGGGTGAATTGATTTTCTCTCAGTGATTTGAACCTGCGCTGACGAACGCGAACAAGCATGCTGACCATTCTTTCAAATATCTATGATCAATCAATGTGTACCGTGATGCTGAGTCACCTTGCCTGGTGATCACATGATAAAAAAAGATCGATGCAATTTGGTCAGTACTCAGCACTCTCCAGTGACTATTCAGTGTGTTTCTTATATTCTACTGTCCATACTAATCAAATGTAAACATACTCTCAGTTATTTCACCGTCGTTAACTTCCGGTTTGCTTGTCGCATTACAGCTAACTGACAAGTCAATGCATGTATCATTCTCAGACGTTTCACCTGATTCTTCTCCAAATCCATTTTGTGAAGCGAATGTTATTATGGATAAGCAAAGCGAGATGTCATCAGCTTTAATACCAGCTCGTGTATACCGTAAATCGTCTGGTCTGTGTCGTATTCCACCGATTGGCATGAATTTGTTACTATCATCAGCATCATATAGTCGAAATGTAATTGCTCTACCACCGGGTACAATATGTCGATCTACGTTATTTGGTCTTACTTATTTAAATGAAGATGCACTGTGGCGTCATGGCCCATTGACTCGTCAACCAGTAAGTAGTTGTTAACTCTCACCCGATTCACCTAAACCGTATGTCTGTTTGTACTTGTGTTAGTGGCCTTATGAACTATGATACACTGATGTGTTGTAGGCTATAGACTATCTAGTCACATCCTCAAACTAATGTTTCCTACTTTAACCTCAGGAACTTCTTGGTATGTGTTAAACTCTCCGCCATTGGAGTCGAGTAGATAAAGTATATACAAAATTCCTACTTTGCATATTTTGAATGAAACTCCTTGTTTTCTTCAACAAATGAGTGAGTGGTGTGTAAAAGAAGGTAAAATTTAAGAGTTCAAGCTTGAGAATTAAAAATAGGCGACAGGTTCATACGATTACCATCAAATAGAGAAAGATTCATAGATTTTAGCACCGGGAATGAAAAGAAGATCTTTTCGCTGTTCGTTTGCCGCTCTCTAACTTAATGGGCATTATGAACCTGAAACTAATGATAGAATTTAAAGAGTGTTAAAATAAAGCCTGTGATTTAGGTGTTTAGGGTGTGCAACCTAATTATAGTGGAGCAAACTGCAGTGTGAATTTCTTGTTCATAGTTTCTGTTCTTTTATATCAACCGAAAGTGGGAACCATAAATCTCAGGTAAGCAAGTGTCATGCGCGTATTATTTTATTTATTTCAAAAGTCATCGACTCATACATGACTTATAGCGGTTCGGAAATAATTGCATGTTAAGTGAAATCTGTCAATCCGTTATTACGCGTTGTCGCATTTTTGTGTTTGAAATTGTATGTTTCGTCTTCATAAGTTATGGTGCATTTTGGTCAGGCAATTTCATTTGCTGGTGAATCATATTGAACAACAAGCACGATAATTTGAAGTAAGTCACAAGTGGTTGATCTGCAGGGCCGAACAGCATGATTCATCGTGTGGTTGGAAGGATTGAGCGTATATTGGAACTGGGCATATCTATTCTGGACCAATCTCATGCAAGATCAGGGTTAAGAATGAATAGATGGAATCGAAATTATCGTCATCAAACGTGTGATAAGCTTAATCATAATCAGTGACACTAGTAATTCAAAGCTTCCCTCAAAGATTGCACATTCACGTTCGACGTGATTGTTCACCTCAAGGTCATTTGATAGCCATACCAGGACGGGAAAATTATATATGTCCACCAGTTTGTCCTACTGACATTACCTCGAATTAAAAACTTTCACAGACTAAACTTTCAAGTGCTCAGTATAGACTACTGATAGGATAGATAAGAGTAATTGCGAATCACTTGCATCTACTATCCAAATCAAGATGGCTAGACAGTTGGGTAGTTATTTTCCGAATTTAAATTGAGCTTGTCAGAAATGCCTGTCGTCGCTACTGGTTGTTGATTCTCTGATCACATGATTTTTATGATTAGTTTATGATACTGACTGCTTACGTGATTAGACACGCGCTTAGTCGCAATGTCTTGTATTCCCTACGGAATAGTATGATTATTTGTCATGCGAACCTCAGTCGATTATTATTATTATTATTATTAGTCCCTTGGGTTCCTAGTGGAACATAGGGCTTCAGTAGCACGCCTCCAGTGACCTCTGTTCTCTGAGATCTTTTGAACCTGGTTCCACGACAGCCCACAACCTCTCATTTCCTCCTCGCATGACCTCCTCCATGTCACCCTCGGACGTCCAACTCGTCGCTTCCCATGGGGATTCCACTCGAGGGCCTGACGCGTGATGTCCTCAGTCGGCCTTCTCAGTGCATGGCCAATCCATCTCCACTTCTTCCTGCATATTTGTTGCGTGATAGGTTCTTGGTTGGTTCGTTCCCAGAGTTCCTTGTTGCTTATTTTTTCTGGCCATCTGATCTTCAGCAGCGAGCGTAAGCAGTTGTTGATGAATGTCTGTAGTTTATTGGAAATGCCTTTCGTGACGCGCCAAGTCTCTGAGCCATACAAGAGCACTGACTTGACGTTGGTGTTGAAAATCCGTATCTTGTTCCACATGCTGAGTGCAGAAGATCTCCACACTGGTTTCAGGCTAATGAACGCCTGTCTTGCTTTTCCGATTCTGACTTTGACGTCCTCGTCCGTCCCGCCTGTAGTTGAAACAGTGCTTCCTAGATAAGTGAAGGAGGTTACTTCCTTCAAGTTTCTCCCGTTGACGGTGATTGGAGTTTGTTGTTGTTGTTGATGGTGGTGGTGCGGTATCTTCATCACTTCTGTCTTCTCTATATTCACCTGAAGTCCCGTCTTGGCTGCCTCTTCTGTCAACTTGTTAGTTTTTGCCTGCAGATCTTCAAGTTTATGTGACATTAGGCATAAGTCATCGGCGAAATCCAAGTCTTCTAGGTTCTTTTCCGTCGTCCAGTGTATCCCCCTCTTCTCGCTGCCTACTGTTTGCTGCATAATCCAGTCCACCACAATAAGGAATATCATGGGGGATAGTAGGCAACCTTGTTTCACTCCTGTCTTCACTTCAAAGGCATCACTGAGCTTCCCATTGTGGATTACTTGGCATGTAGCATCTTCATATAGTTGTTGAATGAGGCGGATAAAGGTTTGCGGTACTCCGTAGTATTGAAGCAGTTTCCAAATTACTTCTCGGTCGACGCTGTCAAAGGCCTTCTCAAAGTCGATGAAGTTGAGGTATAGAGCTGATTGCCATTCTACGCTCTGTTCTATGATGATACGAAGCGTTGCAATTTGGTCAGCACATGATTTGTACTTCCTGAAGCCTGCCTGTTCCGGTCGCAGTTTTGAATCCAGTGCGTCTTTAAGCCTCTCCAGGATGATGCGGCTTAATATTTTACTTGGGGTGGACAGGAGAGTGATTCCGCGCCAGTTCTTGCAAGCACTGAGGTCTCCCTTCTTCGGCAGTTTGACAAGGTAACCCTTCTTCCAATCGTCCGGTACCTTCTCTTCCTTCCACACCTTCTGCAATAGTGGTGTGAGCATGTCCGCTGTTGTCTCTGCATCTGTTCTCAGTGCTTCTGGCGGTATTCCATCTGGTCCTGCTGCTTTCCCGCATTTCAGTAGCTTTATGGCGTTCAGGACTTCCATTTTCGTTGGGGGATTTATGTTCACTTGTAATTCAGCGGCTGCAGGTGGTATTTCTGGACGAAGTGCAGGTGGTGGTCGATTCAAGAGCTTCTTGAAGTGGTCGGCCCATCGTTTCCTCTGTTTCTCTTCTTTTGTAATTAAATTTCCTTCTTCATCTTTTATTGGTTTCATCTGTGTTGGTCTCTTCCCTGATAGCAACCTGGTTATTTGATACAATGTCGTCAGGTCTCTCTTACCTGCAGCCTGTTCTGCTTCACTTGCCAGTGTGTCGTAGAAGTGTCTTTTGTCTTTGCGTGCACTCTTCTTCACTTCTTTGTCCAGTGTTTTATACATTGTGCTCAGTTCCTCTTGTCGTTGAGCATCCTTGCACTGGTTTATCTTCTGCTTCACCATCCTCCTCTCCTCTATCAGCTTCCAGGTATCCGTCGAGATCCATTCCTTGTCTTCTTTCTTCTTCCTTCCTAATACGGCTGTGCAGGTTTCTTTCCACATAGCTTTCAAAGACTTCCAGTGTTCTTCCACACAGGTTTCTTCAGGGATGTTGCTCGATGTCTCCCATTTTGTCTTGATGGCTGCTTTGAAGATCTCCTTTGTAGTTTCATCCTTCAGTTTCCGAGTGTTGTACTTGAATTGAGGTCTATCACCAGCTTCCTTGAAGGCTTTTAACTTGATTTGGAAGGTTCCTTGCACTAGATAGTGGTCTGAACCTACATCTGCTCCTCTTCTTGACCTTGTGTTAAGTAGACTGCGTCTCCATTTTCTTGAGATTGAGATAAAGTCGATTTGATTTTTAGTGTGTCCATCTGGTGAAGTCCATGTCGCTTTGTGGATATCCTTGTGCCTGAACACACTGCCTCCAATCACCAAATCGTTGAATGCACAGAATTCTGCAAACAATTCTCCATTCTCATTCATTTCACCTAGCGCCTCTCGACCCATGGTTAGTTCTCTTCCCGTGTTGTCCCCTCCCAGTTTGGCATTCATGTCGCCCATCAGAATTTTGATATCGCCAACTGACGTCTTGTCCAGTGTTGATTGAAGTTGCCTGTAGAATTCCTCCTTTTTCTCTTGCTCTGCATTATTTGTAGGTGCATAACATTGTATGATTGTGACCTTTCTTCCTTTTGAGTTGAATCTTGCTGTCATGATCCTGGAGGAGATTGGTTCCCACTGCATGAGAGCCTTCGATGCTCTTGAGGACATCATGATAGCCACTCCCTCAGTGTGCTCGTGGTTGGCGTCTGGGTGACCGGAGTAGATTATTGATTCTCCAGTTGACAGTTTGGAGAGTCCACTCCCATTCCATCTGCTTTCGCAAATCCCAAGCACTTCGATGTTATACCTTCTCATCTCCTTTGCAATCTGGGCTGCCTTACTGGGTTCAAACATCGTGCGGACATTCCATGTCCCCATCCTTACTTTCGCTTTCATCGAGAGAAGACACATCGGCCAATTGGCTTCCCGAAGGCTTTCACCAACTGGCGTCATTTCGCCTCTCCGATTCCAGCGGGGAATAAGTTTGTTTTCATTTTTTAAATTTTGTTTGTGCTTTGAAGTTTCTTTAGCGGTTAGATTTGTTTTACGGGGTAGGGTTGCTAGCCCTATGCCCAACCTTCCCTCTTTACCCGGGCTTAGGACCGGCTAGTAACTAGTAAACTAGTTAACCAGGCGAGGTTGAACCTCAGTCGATGCAAGTTCACAATTTTTTCGACTAATATCCCTTTTGAACCTAAAGCTCTACGCCTAACTTTCACGTTACTAACATGGTGCACCATAGCACATGACCTGTGTTACAAAGGAATTGTTGATCGAGCACTTGAAACCTCTTCATGTCATCTACTTTTTATAGTCATGATTTACAGTAGCATAGTAGGACAGAGAGTGACTAGTCATCCTCAGCAAGTATCTAATTGCTGTCACATCTCAATCTAGTTAATAGTACTACTCCATCCTCAGAACTCCATCACAGCGTATCAATTTACACAATGGCAGTGACTGCTGCTTGTCTTACCACTATCCACCTGACCTCTATAGCGTGTTAGAACCCCGAGGAAGCAGGCATTCCACCAGCACAGCTCATCGGGCCATTGTGATGTGCAACAATGACTCCTATGACAAGGTAGCAGGTATCCGTCTTCGCACTATAACACTACGTTTGTTGAATTTTCCTTTGTATTTTCTCAGTCTGATTCATTCATATGTACAGCTGAATTAGGTGTCCACAAAGCACCATAATATATAACGATAAAATAACTGATACCATACTCAGGATAATTGATTTCGCTAAGTACGCAGTTATTCCGGAACCGTGAGTTTCGTGGAAATCAACTGAAAGCTGAGTTGAACAATACCACTGAATAGGTTTTAAGTAGATCTTTTTGAATAAAATAATATAGCCTATGATGCTTATCAAAGACTCGTAATTTCATTCTTGCAGTGTGTTATGATATTGTTTGTTGGCAGGAGAGCAACCAATTTCATGTCGTTTAGTTCTGAGTGCTGACTGAATACTGTCGATCATTTTATGTAATGTGTTCACCATTTTGAGATATTTAAGGTCATCGTACACTTAGGAGCGGTTGGTAGGAAACCGTGTTCGACCAAGTTTTCATGCTTGTTGGCACTTGTTAGCATAGAGTAAGTGCACCCCCGCGGGGACTGATGTTTTTTGAAAGGTTTGAATCCACTTTACCCGATGCTGTAGTCAAGGAGGTTACCACTGAGCTCTACGGGCAGCGATTAGCCTTCTGTAGGATTGGATTAGCTAGGTATACTGACTGGTTACCGGGGAGTATGCAGTTGTTCGAGAGCATCCAGTGCTGTAGTCTGAATTCATCGGACAGTGTAAATAAGTCAATTCATGTAATTTTTTTGTTGAAATGATGATAGCTAATACTGAGTTATTGCTTACAGTATTACAAGGAAGATTATCTAAATAACCTGGAATCCCTTAAAACGTTCAGGACCAATGAGATTTATGCTACTGAACAACATGAATAGTTACGAATCGCTCAACCTGATAATCTGTAGATTTCACCAACCAGACAAACTATAGTGATCGAAATTCTGGACTGCTATTTCGCTCGTTTGGGGCGGGGCTAATGAGCATCTATGTATCCGGACAAATTCAACTCATAGAGCTGAAGTAGCTCAGATCGTCTGAATCTGTCTAGCCGGCTGACATTGATGGGCTGGCAAACCTTATATAGGGATGATCAACTCACAAAATCCTTACAAATTGTAGAGTTCATGGCTACATTTGGAATTGCCGAGTAGCTTTGCAACCGCCCAACTATAGTATCAACAAGACTTCCGTTTGGAAGCACTCAGCATGACCTTTGACACAAATTAGAGTAATCTAAACACTTGGTGGCTGTCTTACTCGTTTTGGGGCCTTAGGAAACGTCATGATGGGTTGCGCAATTTATAAATAACGGACAGGTTCGTCATCCTATTTAAGGCATACCAATGCATTCATATCAGCCGGCTAGTCAGATCATGTTGAGGTGAACAGTTGAGTTGTGTGAATTGTATTTGTTCGTGTGGATATGGAGCTAATTAGTCTAGGCACTTGATTTTCAACTGAAAGGTTACGAGTTGGAAGGCAGCTCCACCTACTGAGGTCTGGACAGAAATTTGCTGTGACTCATCGCCTACTTCACTAATGTGTACAAGGTTGCTGAGTGGTTTTAGATTTGGTTCAGTTTTTTGAAGTAGATCAACTTTAAACAAGTGAACTAGACCTCCGGTATTTAAATCACTTTGATCTGACTAGCGAAATCTACACATAAGCGTGAATGGTTCCTCACTAGTCATTTCAATCAGTAGTACATTTTTTCCTGGCTGGCCTAACAACTAAACCATCTACTATTCTAGCACTTCATTTGTCTTTGGGGGAAGTAAGTTCCCATCAAGGATGGGTTTTAATGGTGATTTATTGTTCAGTAGCCTAAATATAATAATAAGGTCTCACGTTTTATTCTGTGCCAGCACCATCCAATGCCATTGACAACGGTTTCTTCTCGTACTCGAACCTCATTCCACCTAATTTAGTCTATGCAATTAACTAGTATCGTAAGCAGTAAAAGATTAGTTGGGATTCAGATATACACATGTATTGGTTCTGTTTTATATATATATATATATATATATATATATATATATATATATATATATATATATATATATATATATATATATATATAATATATAATCAATCAAATTGTCAGTTATTGCTAGTTTTCTTTACTTTCTTTCTGTTGCCCCCACTTCGCGCCTACTCAATGCTTTTCGTCTACCCTCAATGAATCGTCTTGATGACGTCGACAAGTATGAGGTTCTGCTTCATATTTTCTCTTATCTGGATCTACGAAGTTTATTTCGCTCTGCTTGTGTCTCTCGGTAAGTGTATGTTCGCCAAATGTGTGCGTGTCGGTCCGAGTCATTGGGAGGACATTAGTCCCCTCGAGGTTGTAAATATACTTTACTGATGTGAGTGCCAACAAACATGAAGTGCTAGTCGAGCACGGATTCTTGACGATCGCCTCCCTGGATTAAAAACGTTTGCACTCATACTTCATCTTTCTTAACTTTCACGTTTATTTCTAAAGCACCTAACTTGTCCTAGTTCTGAGGGTGTAGAAAGAGAATTGGTTTATTTTTCAAGATGTTCTCACACAGAAATACATGTAAAACAGAATTTCTTTCAATATAGCAAGGAGGTCTTTTGTAAAAATGAAGTATGTTTGAACCTGGTTTATGAATATTTGTGATCACCTGGAGAATTTAACCAATCAGACAAGTAGAGCTGCATGCAGTAGGCAATGAAATGCAGATACACACACGTACCTACTTTGTGAAGAATATTAATACTACCTTACGGCCTAGACCTCAGTTGGTAGAGCGGAGTTCAAACCCGTGACCCGTTAGTTAGAAGTTAGGTGCCTAGACCAATGCGCTTAGTCTTCATCAGTATATAAATGCAATTCAAAAGTAGACAATCACTTTTGACTTTTTCGTAAAACTTGAATGTTTTGACTAGCTGTAGATTTTAAATTCCTTCTCCTTTTGCCATTGTGACCGATTTACAACTGTTTTGCTTCGAGTCGTCTCAGGGACCCCAGTCAGACAGTACATACTTCAATACTGGTCTCAGAGCAAGAGTCAGAGACTTCATGAACTGTCATCACTTCTTGGTGTGAACACCCTAAGCTTTCTTCTAACCTAATCCACTTCTCCTGGCATTGAACGTTGAGGTAGGCGGTGACTCGGTATGCGCAACACATGTCACCTAAGTCGCTGAAGGTTGACAACCTCATCCACTGACTCGCTTTCCTTGACCGATACCCTTCTTCTAACCTCGACATTGTTCACATTAGAATTCCACCATACGCAGGCAATGCTGTGTAGACACCTATGTATTGTGTCAAGTTAAGGGAAACTTTTTCTCTCTGTCTGTTTGACATCATACTTGAAGTTCGACAATCTCTGGTATATTCAAATGTCACTTTTTGGCGAGGCATCACAGAAGTTTCTTCACTACAAGACAATATACAACTCCTGATTTCCGCATCAGCCGAAGACTATAGATTGGAAGCAAAGATTAGACATTTGAACTGGTCTTGGGTAATTGAACCCCAGTGAAAGTTTTCGCATACAACATGAGACGGAAAATGATCATATTAGTGTTTGTACACTTTGAAACATTCGTGCTGGATATTGAATAATGATGTATATTCAGAGAATATTTTCTACATAGTGATGATTGTTTCACCAGGAGCAGTGTCATTAGTACATCTCGGAAAAATGAAATCGGCATAATAATTATATTTTTACTTTATTCTCAACCAAATTTGTGTTTCTGTACTGAATTCTTAGTCTGGATATTGTAAAAGTATACTCGTTGTACAGCGATGTTCCCACCGAGACTCGAACTCAGGACCGATCGCCTCAAACGTCAGATTGCTATCCACAAGACCTTTGTGGCATGGTAGCCACTTCTTGTGCTGGTGTTTAAAGCTGTCTGTTCGAACCTCGGTGGGAACAACAACACTTACTGGGAAGCAGGTACACATACATCTGACGAGTCCTAAATGGGACTAACGTGCGTCCTGAATTCCATTGCTGGCTGTTACCCATCATTAGTATGATAAAAAAACACAGACAATATCGAGGTATCCGTGCTGGATCCCATATGTCAATAGAGATAGATCAGTCCAGTCCAGTCGACAACGGAATAATACAAGCAACCGCACTACAACAGGATTATTAAAATGTTTAATGACTTCATGGATATGAAACTGTTCGCTGTTGCAAAGTTGATTTGTAAGGCTGTGTCTGACGTGATTCTCTTCACACAATACACAAACGAAGTAAGGTGACATAGTTGAACTTATGTGTATAGTTGTATGCACTTAGAGTTTAGTATATTCGCTTCTTGTCTTCCCTTGTTTTCCTCGAGTATGCAGATGACATCGTTTTACTGTGAGCGACAACATAGAGACTACTCAGTCAGTTAGCGATCGATGCCGGTAGTTACGGTATGTGCTTTGCACCATCGAAGTGAAAAGTGCTTCTACAGGATTAGCAGTCACCTTACTTGCACTCATTCTTGGTGATGAACCGTTGGAGGTTATTGCAACTTTTTTTTGTGACTTCTGGTGGAGGTGTGCAACAATAATGTTGAAGTTAGAATCGTATTCGCTAATCTGAACCACCTTTGTCACTGTACTGATGTTGAACTTGCTTGAATGTTTGAGTATACTACGCTTCGGTGCGACCATTTCTGTGCTCCGACTGTGAAGCCTGGTCTTCCCTAACTGAGGATGTTTGATGGCTCTACATTTTTGATCACCGTTGTCTTCGTAGGATTGCTCACATTCAGTAGGGATACCACGTAGTTGTTCCTGAATCGTTACGGCGTTTGCTTTTGGCTTGATGGAGGTCTTCATTTAGAGACTGAGCTCATCTTAAAACACTGGTTTTCACGGCTTGAACATTTCCTGTATATGTGGCCCAAATATTGAGCACACCCGTCTCTATTCCTTTGCCCTGCTACTCGTTAGAAGAGTTGAAGAGAGGTAGTCAGTCTATGATGTGGTGCCGTCTGTTGAAAAAGTGTTTCTTTGACATCTTTAGGTTCGGTGAATGGGTTTTAAGAGACCATGGAACTCAATCACTTAACACGAAAGGAAACAGCACTTGGAATCGAAACGAGTGAACATCATATATATATATATATATATATATATAATAACTTGATGTGAGTGTTGCTTCGTTGCTAGATGGGTGATTTTGTGTTTTCAAATTATTGAGCAAGGATGATAGCTTTTTGTAGTTTGTGAACTGCAGATTAAGGTTAGCACGTACGTCTGTGCTGATGGTTCTTATCATATGTGTGTTGGGGTTATGTCAGCATGTGGGATGGTTTGAAACCAGGTCAGGTTACGTTTTATCCCCCTCATTCCTATTCCGTTATCGGTTTTGATTGCATTTTATGTAACGACATTCTGCTATGAGACGTTCTTTGTAATTTCTAAAGCCTTTCTGACTAATCCCTATATTCTGAAATAATCGAAATTGTGACTTGAAGTTATGGCGAGCTATGGCTGAGGTGGTGGTGGTGACTAGCAGTGGAATCTAGAGCGCATGTTCCGTTCTTTTTGCGATCTTACGCCAGCGGGTGATGCTGTTTCCGGTAGGATCCGAACCCAGCGTCTTTCGCGTCCAGCACCAGAGCAGTATCCATGATATCCACTGCTTGAGTAACTGATGTATTTTAAAACTTATACATAATTAGGCTTCAAATGCATATTCGTTCTATTTATTGTGCCATGTGTTTCAAAAGCCAAATGAATGATTGACTGAAAACTTGTTTTATGAAGAATTGGAGAGAAGGTGATACAATTTGATTATACTATCATTTTTTGATCTTCAATTCGTTGTCAATTTTGTGAAAACTGAATGTATAAATATCCATTTACTGTTAGATTCGTTTTTAAAAATAAAGAACATGTGAAATGGTGGAGAATGTTTTTGCTTAGAATGATACACGAATTTCAAATTGAGGCGAGTTCTCTGACCTGGAGTTTTATTTAGCAGGCGTTTCAATGTCATACTAGACACCAACATCATTGGCGTTTTACAAAGAAGCAGACTAATTGGATGTGTATATTTATAAAATGCTACTTTGCCTGACTGCAAACTGACTGGTAGCTTGGTGAGTGCGTGGGAGTTTGTTGAGTCTGATTGGTTGACTTTCTCAGATAAGTATATCAAGCATTGGCTTGTATTTTACAACACAATTTGTAGAGGTTGTATCGTTGTGACTGATTGGTAGATGGATTACCAAATCCTTTAAAAAATTTAAGTTTCACATCAGCAAACAAATCGCTGTAAAGTTTTATGCGAAACGGATGGTGCATTCAACAAGAGACAAATCATGAACGTGATCTGCAAGGTCAATGGCATCAACTGTCAACACCACTATATGAAAGTCAGATAGGCCTTTATTACAATACCTTAATGAACACTAGTTACCTGTTAAACATGTTCTTAAGTCTCCTATAACAATACACTGTGATAACCAAAGCCACATGTTCGACCGGGCCAACTTCGAAATACTTAAAAGCTGCCAAAGGAAGCTCAAAGAACTAAGAAAGTAGTAGCCAAGTGAACCTAGACGGAAAATAATTGTCGGTAATCGAACGAAAACAATGATAACGACGAAACCCCCCAGTGCATCCAACCAATTTGATGAAGATTATTGTTGTATACCTAACCAAACTTCTACAGTTAGTTGAGTAATGGAAAAAGATGCTCCTCCAGTAAAAAACAACCAATCGATTAATGATTGCAACGAATGCCCCATTCAGTTGGAGTAAATCAACCAATCACTGAGAATTTCTTTTAGCAGAATAATTGTACCAACCAATCAGCGTAAACCGTTCCTTTTTTATAAAATGATATTGATACTGTCTATCTAGCATGATAGGTTGATGTTTGCCTACCAAAACTTTCGACCAATGAATAATTGAATCTGAATATATCACCTTTTTTCTTAAAAATACATTAATATATCATCTGTCTGTTGGATTCTTTCTTTTGTTTGCGGTAACATTTTGCTTTTTCCCACAGGCAGTTTCGTTGTCTTGTCGAAGATACACTGGCCAGTGTAACTAGGCTAAATCTTCAATCATTTTGGTCAACGTTAACTGATTCCAGTCTGCTTAGCTTAGGGAAACGTTTAGGTCAAGTGAATTTGATTGTGAAAGCAGTCGCTGAATACTACACCACAGGGAATTGTCTAGTTGCACCAATCAGCTTATTACGTCGTAAAGCTAAGGAAGAAGAGGACGGAGAGGAGATACACGAAGATGGCACCAATCATTATCGTAAAGACAAAAATTCACTTCATCAACAATCTACTTATCTTAAAAAAAAGCATTTACATACACCATTAGTCGCCCGTGTACGTGGTTGGAGTAAAAGTGCTGAGCGTGTACGTGATCGTGTTCAGATATTCGATGCCACGTATTCAGATGATGTGATGGATATATGTTCAAATGGAAAGTATTTAGCCAAGGACCATTCTCCGAATGATAATCATTATTTAAAGAATAATGATATGCATAAAATGAAAACAATTGATGGATCAAATAAATGTTATCGCTTTGATCTACCCACATCGCATTTACGACGTTTGGATATGTCATGGTGTGGAAATTACTCTCAGGTTAGTTTATTTTTAGTTAAAATTTGAAATATTTTACGCATATATTTAAATAAGTTCATTTCAGGCAATCTACAGGAATAAACCTTGCTTGATAAAGGTTCCGTCCCTTTCAACACTCATCACCAATGGCATATCTACTACACCCCCGTGAGAATTGAACCCATATCATCAATGGTAACAGTCAGCAATATTATCACTGACGTAAGCAATGGATGACACGAGTTTAAAACTCAGTGGACATAAGTTCGCTTAAAGTTGCTGATACGAAACGCATCCTGGTCAAACAGGGCTTCCTGCTGAGTGCTTTCATCCAATGATAAAGTTTTATTTACTTCATGATGTTTCCAGAATAAATTATTAACGCTCATACTCATATCAATGTAATCATACAGCTCTCGTTATCTCATTCTTATTCTCTCACCTCTTATTCTTCGTTTCTATTGGCATTAAAATTTTTCATATCTTTGTTATATAGGTGTTGCACCACTTCTGTAACATGTGTTGGGTGTCGATGCAATAAACAAAGATTCAGTAATCAGTCTCTCTCTCCACCCACCGAATCATACTTGACTTAAGTATAGCGGCGGTATCCCAGCCTATTGTGTAGTTGTGTATTAATGCATGCATTGAAATAGCCAAGTGTTTTTCTAGATTATTGATCTCATTCGAGTCTGTCATTCGGTATTTAGCTGAATTCCTATGTTTGGCTATTCTAACTGACCCCCGACCAACTAGTTTGACCTATGTACTTGACCTTACAGTGATTACATAGAATTTGATAGATTAGATTATTTTACTTAATTGGTTCCATCGGATCCTTAAGTCAGCCGACAAAGCTTATCTCTGAGTGAGCTTGTAGGTTGGAATGCCACCCTAATTCCAGCTTTGTTGAGGATCCTAGGTGAAGTTTGTGATGTGCCTTCCTTATAGGGTAACACAATGGAGGCTGTGAACTCCTTCCTACTTGTGTTGTCGTTATTATGAGTGCTCGTGTGACTGTTATTATTTTTGTTTCTTATGTGTTCATACGAATTTCTTAATAAACTGAAGAGGATAATTATTAACTGTGAACGCTTCTTTTCCGTGTTTCAATTCCTTGTTTAAGTCCTTGAAATGACTAGTCAGTTTCTAGCTCTGTCACCTAGACATTTGACTAAGCCTGCTTTAACTGACATTGAATGGGATGACTTGTAGTCTAGATACCTGTTGAAATGTGTCGGTTTTCTGTGGACGATGGTATCCGAACCGGCGCCTATCTTTCTTTTTATTCTGCAATCCAACACACTGTCACTTAGAACAATCGAGAGTAGGAATTTAGTTAAATGTTAGAATTTTTACCATCAGCAAAAATAAGGTATCAGAGATGACATAATTGTAAAAATCAGATGTCGAGAGCTGTGTGGTTACATTGATATGATTATGAGCGTTAACAATTTATGCTGGAAACATCATCAAGTAAATTGTTGTAAGGCACCAGTTTTGTACAAAACATTGTTATCGATGTGAACATTTTTAACTTGGCATTCTCACACGCTTATACAGTATGACCAGTAGTTTATTTTCTGTCTTCATTGTAATGCAATTCGCTGATTGGTTAACTTTTACTCTTACTATGCGAATGTCTGTAATTGCGGATAAGGTTATATTTTATGTGTATACTTATTCCCGTGTTTTGGATTGATTGATTATTCCATGTCCTCAGAGCATTAAACTCTCCCATCATCTAGATTCAGTCTTCTCTCTGTTCATCCCGGGGTTGCAGTTAGTGACTCTTGCCTACTAAGTTGGCTGTCGGCTAAGCGTGCATATTCTATTTATTCAGAGTATATATAACCGTTGGCGTACGAAGATATAACATAAATAATAGTGGATCACTATGTGTTACAAATCAAATAAACTAGTCCAATATGGAATTAAATTCTACCAGAGTGCTAAAGTTTTGCTTTCAACGAACTTTCACCTATCAAATTGCACGGCAATGGTGATCCTCTTTACTTGATAACCGTATTACCTAAATGGTCTGTTGGATTTGGTTAACACTTTTGATTTTACAATGCGCAATTTGCTGGTTTCTTCAGATACTAATCAACACAACCATTTAAATCATTCAGTAATCCACTGGATAGCTTCATTGTGGAGGAGATGAAACTATATTTTCTTGATCAGTTTATTCCTAATTGAAAATTAACAGATATCCTAATTTAAATGATATGAAGCTGATAAAAATATAGAATTTTAAGATTTCAAACATCTTAAGATTCCCATAAGTTATAAAATTCTTTTGTTCGGCGTAAAATCAAGACAAGTTAGGGACATATGTATTCTCAAAATGGGGTGACATTTAAAGGCTGTAAGGAAATCGATTTTTCTTTCTTAAATTTATCAATATTAGGCTGAGACATATACTGTTAAATGATGCGATGGTGAACGAGTAGACAAATAAATAAAAATGACAGGAGTGACTTTTACTTTACTGAAGGTCGAGATAGGAATAAAGTTTGAACATGATCTTTCTGGATGCACAGTTTCATCTATGTTGAGCAGGCGTTCGTGAGCTACACGTGGGGTATTGTTTTTGGAATACATTGAAAGTCAAGAGAAGCAGAAAGTAGCAAAGAAAGGAAGGAGGAGTGAGGAAGTGATGAGATTAAGTGTAGCGGCTAGTGTGAGAATAATGTGTGCATACATCTGCTCCACTGACATCAAGCCTTATTACCTCGAGTCTCCCACCACTGGTTTCTCTTGTTCCGCAGACCCCAACTGGGTAGTTTGCATTGCCCTAAATAACTCAAACCTACAGTCAAAGACTTCATGCATTGATGCCATGCTTTAGTCTGTCCGCTCTGAGTCGTTTTCCAGCCTGGACCTACTTTGGCCAACATTATGCAACTAGGCAGATGGTGGCTAGGCATCCATAACACATGTCCCAGTCATCTCATTCGATGAAGGTTTGGGACAACTGAATTGCCACACCTGCCTGAAACTCGACATCTGACTTCTATATTACTCACTCAGTGACACCACGAAACATGGCCTATGCTACGAAGACAGTGGTGGTCAAACACTTAAAGCCTTCTCTTGTCTTCTACCATGTTTCACAGGTATAGGGTAGAACAGAGCGGACTGTAGCATAGAACACTCAACCTGTAGTGCAAAAGGGACTTGCATAAAACATTCTATCAACTGCTCTAGATAGGCGTTGTGATAGAATGTCACTTATAGCGTCTCCTTTGAGTTGTAAACGTGGAAGCAAAGGCTTCTCCACTTTCATCGATTTTTGTTGACCACCAATGTAATTGGATGTTAACTCTGATCAACTTATTCGGATATAATTGTAGAACCTGATGAGAATTTATTGAAAAGAATACTCTTCGTTCAAGTTGTCGCTCTTTATGTAGAATTCGATTGGTGTAGTAACCTTCAACCCATCAATTAGAAAACGGGTAGTGTATATCATCTATTTAGTAGAGAAATCAGGATGTTTACTATGGAAAGATTATTTTTAAGGGTTTAGAAGTCTTTCAGGGTTGTAAGCGACCTAAATTTGAAGTATGTGAGCCACTAAACTCGTTATTGTCTGGAACTGAGGACATAGTCCTTCTGAAAAACATTCGTTGTCATTCGTTTTTCCTGGGCAGATAGACATATAACATCATCATAGAATCCGTAAGAGTAGTGTATCGGTTCGTTACCACACTTCGCAACAACATTCAAAGAACAAGTAAGCAGAAGAAAGCTGACTAGAGTGTATGGAAGGAAAGCGAGTTTGAAAATCAGGGTTAGTGAAAACACTGAAACTTTCGAAGATATCGAACGGTGAATACACCTGCATCATTATTACCGATTACCACTTGTATCAGCTGTCAGCTTATACTTCCTACCTCCAAGGTAATCCAACTACTGTTAGCATGGCGCGTTGACGTAGGTGGTAGTTGGAAATGTCCAGGAAATGTCAAATCTACTTCAGTTGATGAAGGTTAACAACATTATCGAGTGAATCACCTATCTTGCCTGTTACTCTTTATTTCGATCACATGGTGATGCCCAGTATGTGTGAGCAGAACTAAAAAGGCGCCTATAGTCAAAACCTATGGTCTGTTCAGGTCATACAGGAGTCACTGTACAACTACAGAATGCTATTGTTTCATCAAAATATTACTAGATGGCGATAAACAGACAATATAAACCTAGGACATAAAATTACTGCACAGTGGTTCAAGTTACCGCAACTTATATCAGCACATCAGGCGAAAATGTTGCATCGAAATGAAAGATGAAGAGATCAGGAGGGAAGCAGTCAGAAGCGATCGAAAGTCATGAAAAGAGAGCAAGGATTAATGAGGCAATCCTAATTTTTAGTATGGCGATCATTACCCTAAACTACTCAGACCGAAAGTCAAACACTTTATGAACTGATTCAATGTCTTAGTCTTGTCGCCTTTAACTTTTTTCCAGCTTAAACACACCTTAGTTGACCTTGGCAATGAGACAGAAGTTACTAGGCCTGCGTAATACATACATGGCCCCTGTTATCTGAATCGATGAAAGTTCACAAGTTCACCAATTGACTTTCCTCTTGCCTAAAACTTTACACCTGACTTTTACGTTACTGACATGATGACACGATGATGCATGACTTATTCTACAAAGATAACAGTGGTTAAGCACCGGAAGCCTTCTCATATCTTCTTTTTTCATTGAGCATGTCTGTGAGCCATGTAGTCTAACATGGCGAAATACAACGCAGTAGGCCGTGCACTTAATAGGCAATCTGGTCTCTCCGAGCTGAGGATTTGCCACGTCTCTGTGTGTTCAATCATCGTTGTCTCCGTAGGATTGCTCGTATTTGGTGGGGACACTATGCAAGTAATCCTGGGGTACGACAGCGTCTGTTTAGGCATAATAGTGATCATCATCCAATAAGTGAAGTCATCTGAAAATACCGACTTCGGTCACTTGGTCATGTGTTACGCATGTCCTCCCAACGGCTTCCATGCCATTCATTATTTGTTAGCTCTGGGACTGGATGGAGGAAGCGGAGTAGTAGTCAGTGTATGAAGTGACACCGTGGGATAAAAGATAGCTGTATAGGGTTAGCATCTTTTGGTTCATCACGACTCTCTGGGTGGGGCTGAGAGATCACACAACTCAGTAGCTTGAGACGTTATCAGATATGGCTCAGAATCGAAACCAGTGACCATGTTGTAGCTTCCTTCTATCTTCTACTACTGAAAAGTAATGAATATTTCATTTTGAATGTACCTCACTGAACTGCTCTTCTAATCATTCTGTTCTTATTGTGTTTTACTTTTATTCACTTTACTTTATGTTATCATAATATTGTTAAGTTATTTTGTGTGGCACATTTCTTGGGACCCTTGCTGTACCACGTTGTGTTCTAATTAATAAAGAAACCAGATGTCTTAGCAACGTATTATCTTTAACACTTTCTGTTTGAATTTTCTCTATCGTCTTACGAAATTTATCACGTTGTTTATATGGGTATTTTTCAGTGCGAAACTTTACCATTGTGTTAACCTTACTCTATTAAATACTGTGAAAGGAGTAACATGCATATTTTTATTTCATTTGCAACAAAAAGCATAAACGGTGGATAAATTTGGCTCACTTTATGTATTCTCCCTTTTGTCCTTTTCTGCTCCTGCTATTCAGATATCACCGACAGCATTTGGTCACTTTCTTTCTGATGCTTGTCGTCTGCTGACAACACTCAGATTGTCCAGTTGTAAATTCCTTAACGATGACTGTCTATTGCATATTGTCAATACATGCCCATACTTGAAAGGTGAGTTGTAACTACGTCTTTTTTGTCCTTACTGATAACCTACTTCTCCATTGGCTTGGTGGTTGGGTTCGCACACTAAAATCATCTAACGTGAGCTGTGCTGGTGATGGAACACTTCTGGTTCTAGAAAGGTCTGTTGGATAGTGGTAAGAGGAAAAGGCAGCTAGTGTTATGTTGTATTATACTACATCGTGATGACAGGCCAAGAGCGAAGTAGTTATGCTGGCTGGATAGTGTGTGCGACAGCTGTAAGACATTTCCTGCAGATGAACAACAATACCATGCCTTGTTTAATTATATCACCTTTGTAGCATAGGCTGTTTGTTATGGTGCTTTTGCATCAATAGCTTAGAAGTTAGACGTAGATTTTTTGGCAGGACAAGAAAATCAATCCCTGAGGTTGTGAACCTGTATCGAGTCAGTTGCCAGAGACATGTGTTACGCATGCCTGGCTAGTCATTGTCTGTCTCATCACTATGCTAGCTGAAGTAGGTTCACACCAGAAACGATTAGGGTGACCGGACTATTTCAGTCCATGATAGTCTGTGACTGTTGGTCTGACCCATGTGGGGAGATGTAGACTTCCCAGTTGTGGTTTGCATGATAGCAGAAACCGATGGTTGAAGTTACTCAGGCGAGCTGTGTCTCACTGGTTTAGGGAAATGACGTTCAAGCGATAAGTCGCGGTTTGAGCAGCTAGGTAGTATCATTTGTGCTCACATAATAGGTGTGGCTCATTGTCTACTACACGAATGTGCATAAGGCTTATGAGTACATTTCATTTGATTCTAAGTGGCTCAATATCCATCTTAATGATGCAAATGCATCCGCACAGTATCTTCACCTCAATCGTATGATCGAATATCAGCATTATCTCATTCCTATGTTTTGACGATTTTCTACTACATTCGACTGCTTTCTTCTCTATTTCTTTGCATCTTTCATCTAAATACAGCATTGTTGCCCGATATGACAACATGAAGTGCGGCGAATCGGACCATTTTTCAGTAATTCTAGGTCCCACGTTGATGTTGTCCATCCGTCTCCTTTTAGTAATGTTTTTCAAGCTAGAATTTGGGATGTTGTAATGACAGTTACTAAGATGATAGGTGAACTCGCCAACCCTTCTAAATGTTTCTTTGACTAGTCAATGAGACACATTTCAATTGTATGATGGTTATCCATGGCTACACTATGTTTTCTTGAATCTCAGTCGCTGAGGGAAGGTTTGAACTCATGATCTTCCGATTGAACAATTGAGTATTTCATTTTAAAAAAGTTTACATGATATGTGGGACTTTCAGTGTTAAAAAGACCATCGTAAACTGTCTAAAGTTGTACGTTTACGATTGGTAACTGTGAGTAAATTGTTGGCAGTGCTTCTAACTATTTTGCACACGTGAAGCTCAGCGACTGGATACACATGAGCTATCTGTATGAGAGTGAGTAATTAGATATGCAGTGATTTTGAAGTGATGGGTGATGTTTGTAGCTGAAGAGCATGATGTTAGTAGTGTTATGCTTTTTGAGTTGTATGGTTTAATCGTGAAACTTTCAACATTTTTCTTCTAGACAACATCATCAATAAAACAAATGTGGAACCTTACTATACTTGCTAAGCAAGCAAGTAGTACTACTATAAAGGTGTGATCGATACTGTTAAAGCACTGAGGTCAGCCTTTAATAGTAGCATACTTCTCAGTGTCCCATGAAACCGAATGAAATTGAATTAAAGCTGTTCAATAAAGTGATCAGTTCACACCGGAAATTACAGAATGCACCTTCTAAAGCCCATGAAGTCAGTTTAATCCGAAATGCTGTTGAAGTGAATTTACAACAGCACATGAATTTATCAACATTAACATAAGTGTACAATTTGAAAGCGTATGCATGTGAAGTCTCCGATATCGTCTGGATACCGTACAACCATAAGTATGTGTTGACTGTCGATTCTGCAGGATGTGTAATCATCTGGGATGCAAACGTCCATCTAATGTACAATGTTGTTTATGATGCGTCTAACCGATCACAGTAGGTGGTATAGACAATGTGCATTTTATTTACAACTAAATATCTGTTCATTGACTTATTTTTGCCGAAATGTTAGGCTTCTAGAAATTCACTTGCAGCTTTTGAATCTACACTTTGAAATACTTTATAATTCTTTGCATTGAAGATTTTGTTTACGTACAGATATTTGACAGAGTACTGGCTGATCAGTGTACATCCAATTTTTGGAACGTCATCAGATATGGTGGGTCAGTTATCGACGAAATTTCTGCATGAATGCACAGGCCTAGATCAGCTTTCACCAACGAACACTAGTGATGGGTTTGGAGAGTTATCAGATTACTAACTCTAGGTTAGGGTGTACTGTGCAGCAGTTCTCTCTCTTCTCGGTGATTGAAAAACCCGCCTATCAAACGTTGATTGCATTATAGATCGTCAAATATTTGATTTCATCAATTCATCGTGTTAGAAATGTAGAGGTTAGGCGTGAACTTTTAAGCAAATGATGAATGTCACTTCATCAGGTTGTGAAACTTCATTGACTTAGGTATTTGAGACTTGTGCTATGCATGTATAGTGACTGTCTATGCTAATGTACAATGTCAGTTTAAGTAGGACCAAACTGGAGAGGTTAGAAGTGGTCAGAGTAAAATATGTTATCATTGTATGAAGCCTTTGACTGATGGTCTGAGAGAAACATAGACTTCCTTCTTCACAATAACTAAAACTATTGACTGTAGATTCCAGGTGATATGGCTCAGAATCTAACTCATTAGCGTGGACGCATGCACATGCTGTCTTAATTTTAATGGTTATGCCCAATTTTATCTTTCCATTTTACTCCCTGTCTCTTTCTTTGGCTTTCCATATCTGTTGTCCATATAAAGTTTCCTTCTTCTTTTCCTTGTGTCTTGATATGTGGTATGGTAACGTGAACAGTTGCACAGCATTATTAGTTCTCATGTTGATATTGATTAACTAAGTTATTGATGATTTGTTGATACTTGTACTTTCCTGTTTTCTGTCCTGGGTAGAATCACTCGACCTCTGTTAGCATATGGCTCGATATTAGCTGAATATTTACTCCGTAATAACTTACTTAGTTGTGGCTAACAGTAGAATCCAGGACGCGCGTTTTGTCCTATTTGAAATTCGCTTGTCAGTTGGATTTACCTACGCTTCAGTGAGTGGTCGTTGCCTTTACTAGGACTTGGTCCCTATATTCACTGCTTCGAAGGCTCCGCCTAGTAAAAGAGGTAATTAAACGGATATATTCTCAGCCAGTTCTTGTCCTTCTAATCTTGTCTTATGTGTGTTTCAGTAGTGTTAGGACAGTCTATATTCCACTGATCAGTAGCCATTATCCTGTGTCAAAGTATTGTGAGGGTATAAGGATGGTTCCGCATTCGTAACCCAACCATCACTTGGGAGAAATCCCCAGTCCAGTATTAACCGGTCACATCATCTATGGGGAACCGGGACTTTTGTAGGATAATTCAACTTTGAATTGATATCATTTGCCTAAGGATGACGTGTTACATAATCCTCGCGTTATATGACGTGGTGACTAAAATTGGAACACATGAAAATTGGGATTTAACTTGACTAGAGAAGCGTAAGCTGGTCGCAGTGGAAAGTGTATGATTCATGGTTCCGATCTCTTACTAGGGCAGATAAAATAACCCCTAGTTTCTTCACAATTTTGTATTAATATCGGTTGATGAGGTGACATGTAGTTATAGAAGTAAACAACTTTTTAAGAAGTAAAGTAAAAGTTTGTTTTATGATGAGACTATGAAATACAGTGTCAAATTTGAAAAATCGATTGCATTACCTCCCTATTACACTGTATTTTTAATCACCGACTAGACTATCTCAGTCTGAATGGCTAAGTAGAGTGATCGCGTTTCGATTGTTTCGTGAGGAATATAATGCAGATATGTAAAACGCGTTGAAAGTATGGCAATAGTAGATTTACCGCAGTTTCTTGACTCACCTTTTCCCGAAGCTGCAGCCAATCATTTTTAATTCAGAGAAATTGCACTTGTCAATCTTGTTCAGGTGGGATGATTATATTTCTCGACTTGTCATACGGATTTCAGCTTCTTCTTGTCACATGATCTATTTCTTCTATGTCAACTTTCTTTCCATGATTACGCAACCCTCGATAAAATCAAACATGGCGATTGCTATACTCTAGGCAAAGTGACACGCAGTTAGGTGATTTTCCTGGTGTTGCGTTCTCTGAGCTGGTTGGTTTACTCTTGAAGCCTTCATTGTCACTATAGATAACATCACTGGCAGTAGCACCAACTTCAGACATAAGTAAGCTCTGAGAGTTCCTTGAAAAGTTGCTTAGTAGCTTGTACTGATGACTTTGAGTGCGATTCGTTTTTTTGCTGAGATCTTGTCATTGTTTGCAAACGTATTTCAATCGCCAAACATGGTGACCGGAATTCTGATCATTTCAGTGTTTCTCGTGTTTCCTATCGCTAGATTAGATCGATGTCAGTATGTCTGTTCACAGCTGATTGACGTGAGTTCCACGCCTCTAAAGATTCTCTGGCATTCTTGGAATCTCTTTTATCCAGGATTTCGACATATTCCCAGTCTAATTCATGCCCACGGTTGTGAATATGCATTCGTATGAGCGAATATATGTCATAAGGCTTCACTGCTAGTTGATATTCATGTAGACGGATACACAGATGGCGACTACTCTCTCGGATATGTTTTTGTCACTGTTTCTGCAGTTTATTTTGCAGATAATGTGCGGCTTGTCTTCAGTTGCTCTTTTATCCTTTGGTCTGCAGAGAATGTATGAAAGTGGTTTCATAGTGCTACGAATTACGACTATTCTGAAAGACTTCAGTAAGTAATCTAGTTGCTATCTCAGAGAGGCTCTTCTTATAAGGTAAGACGTTCCGTTTTACTGGTTTCCAAGTATGGCGTTTCGGTTGACGGTGCATTTAGTCATTGAGAATTCTACGAAGTATATTGGCTTATTCCACGCTATAAACTGGTCAACTTTGATTAGTTATGAACACTTCAACTTCCCGGTGTGGATCAGAAACTAGCTGGGTGAATCTCATGTTCATTGTAGCATTCACTAATTGGTGCAAGTAGTTTCTATTTACGTTTTTTCAAAAATACAAAGTATTTCTCACAGATAGGGTATTCTGTAAATACGACTTAACTCTAGAGTCAATAGGCAGAGTTTCTGTTAGGAATTCATATTCACTGGTAAGGCTGGTTTCGCTCATTTGAGTTAGTCATCTCGAAATCAAAGTCAAAATCTATTTAAGCTAAAAGTTGCAGCTGTATTATGAATTTATTTCACCTCACCACTTCTGCTGGTAAATTTGTCTCCCTGGAATTCGAATTCTGCTACATAAACTACTCATTGATTTATGGAATAGTAATTTAGGTAGTTGTCAGGTGTTCTTATTGACTTGAATTGGTGTGAATCTTATGATCTTAGCATATCATGAAGAGGATTTAGTGTTCCTTAAGTTTGAAAGCATAATTTCATGGGTTGAAATTGTTTGTTATATCTATCCACCTTTAATTCTTCTAAAGGTTAGCAGTCATACGATGGAGATCTTGCTTTAAATTCGTGTGCAGTCAAACGCCCGTATTCACCATCAACATCGTAGCGACTTTTTTATGAATGCAACCCTGTGCTACTTATTTTTGAAATGAGTAGTGTGATTGGTGTTCCTCCGTAATGTTACTTTATCAGAGAATTTGATTGTTTATCTCGGTTACAATCGTATTGTGTTCATCATTGGTATCTTTCGCACTTCATGATTGCACTCTGCTCCCTTCAGTTACTTCCAGGATGCTTTATCTTCCACTGAACATTATACATCTTATGCCTTTTACACCTTGCCTTAGAGATCCACTGAGGTTGTATATTTTCAACTGGTTTGCTCTATACACCTTATTCTTGTTTTCATTGTTGATAGATACACTTCCCACCAGATTCTTTTGACGGTGATAAATCTAAAGGCAACTCATTATTACAGGTTCGTAGTTCATTTTTCGTTGTGGCTCATCAACACATTACCGTAATTTAGACAAATTGCGTGACTCAACCGTTTGGTGAATTTGTCGAAGAATCATTTGGTTGTTTTGGTTTCTTATCGCTTCAGTCAAGAAATTCGTACTGGTCACACTCCTCTTCTGTGAATATTTGAAGCTATGAGTCATTAGTTTTGGCACTTGATTGCCAACTGACGTAGACGTTGTGGGTTCGAATCCCCCCTCTATCTACTGAGGTTTGGCCAGTCTTGTAGTGAGTGTCGTTCACTTTTACACACTAAGCTTATGGTTTATTGCCTCACGTTTCTTCAGAGTTTTTTGTGTCTATGTTGAACTCATTTACTTTTCTGCTTCTGCTGTTTAGAGCTTGATTTATCCTCATGTCTGGGCATAACATCTGATGGTTTCTTAACATTGGGTCGATTGATTCACTTGACTTGGATTTCACTCTATCGAACTCACATCACAAATGATGGCTTAGCAATACTAGCGGAATTATGTCAACATTTAAAGCATATCAATGTTGGTTCATGCATAGATGTACATGATATGGATCGTGTACTTCATGAATTGACACGGAATAATCCGTAAGTTTCTCAGAAATTATTATTAATTTCTTGAAGCAGTTCCTCTTACTGTAAACTGATATGCTGTTGTTTAGTTGTTATCTGAAGAAACCTCGACTAAGCATCGGTCACAATGGCTCAGATGCTGTCACTTTTTGATGTCTTTGAAATCTTGAATGCTTTGGTTAACCTTCATTTTTTATATTTCTTCTCTTTTCATACACATTTTTGCCTACTTTGACACCAGTCTGTTTCTGTCCACTTTTGTTTTGCATACTACTGGTTGTTCTCTTACTGAAATTCTATAGTCTATTTGATACTAGTATACATTGTTATTTACTGATTCTTCTTATTGCCCGTTGTCACACTTGATCAAATTGTTTGACTTTTTTTGGCAGATGAGATCCTATGCAGATACCTTGATACTCCCTAAATATTCATATTGTTGCGGTTTACTTGTTGGTGGTTAACAGTGGAATCTGGGAGGCGCGTTTCTTTCTGTTTGCGACTCATTCGTCAGCTGGATATACCTGAGATTAGTTGATAACGCTTTGACATTTCATATGCAAATGGGGTATTTACTGTGGTTAAAATCGGAGCATTTCGATAGTTTGTTCACACATGTAAACTCGGTCGTAAACGGGGTACAACTTACCTTTTAAACAAAATAAACAAGGAGAATTGATTATGTTATATTGCAGATTGAAACGAAGAATAGAGGATGATTTAGAAACTACTGTCTACGGGAAACCAACAGGTATCCAGATTGCTAGTCATCTCATCCAAGATCAATCAAACCTAGCTTGTAAAACTGTCTAAAAAACACTAAAAAAGCTAAAAAGCCAAAACTTGAGAGACTGAAAAATGGTCTGAACTCAAAATTACGACCAGAACAGACTGGCTGGCTGGCTTCAGGAAAAACAATTCATGTATGGATCGAATTGCAATGCTATTGTACTCATCATCATAGAACAGAGGTCAGAATGGCAGTTAACTCTAACTCAACTTCATACACTTTGGAAACGCCTTACACAGTATCAACCGAAAAGTAATTTATAAGCTGCTTCGTCACTACTGTTTCAGAGCAACAAACATTTATCAACCTCATTGAACAGCTAAATGACAATGCCACATGCCATATGATTCATAAAGGAAAGCTAAGTGATGCCTTTGAAGTGAAGACAGGAACAAGACAAGGCTGTCGCTTACTATCACCGGTGATTTTCCTGATTGTGGTCGACTGGACTAGACTGGATGATGCACAAACTGTGAGGAGTGAGAAGAGAGGCATACGCTAGCGGGACCGATGAAAATACTTCAGAAGATTTGGATTTCGCCGATGATGATTCATGTCTAATGTCTCTTCGCACAAACTCGAAGATCTACAGGTGAGAACTAACAAGTTGACAGAAGAGGAGAGGTAGCGGAGACGCGACTTCCTTCAGGTGAACGTAGACAAGACAGAGATGATGAAGATACCCGACCACCAACAGCAAGCACCAATCACCATGAATAGGGGAGAAATCTGAAGGAGTTGTCTCTTTCACCTACCTAGGAGGCAGCATCGTTTCAAGTGCGGGCGACACAGGCACAGATGCGGATATCAAAGCCAGCCAGGATCGGAAGGATAGCAAGATAGGCCTTCCTGCATTAATCTGAAATCATTTTTGGATATATACTACTCTGCACTGCACTGCACCTCAGTCAGCATAAAGCCTGAATAAGATCGGATTTTCAACACTAATGTAGTCAAGTCAGTGCACGCATACACATGCGTGATGGTTGAGAGACTTAGTGTGTTACGAAAAGCATTTCCATCATACTGCAGACATTCATCAACAGTTGCCGCCTACGCTCACTCGATGCTTAAGATCAGATCAGGTGGTCAGCAAAAATAAGCAGCAATGAACTCTGACCTGGGAACGAACCAGCTAAGAACCTGTTGCCCAACAAATCTGCAGAAGAAAGTGCCGATGGGTCGGGCATACACTGAGGAGACCATTCGAGGACATCACGCACCAGGCCAGCCCCCGGGTGGAATCAAAATGGTAAACGATGGGTTGGGCGTCCAAGGGTAACATGGGGGAGATCATGTGAGGAAGAAATGAAAGCTTGTGGACAGTCGTGAAGCCAGGTTCGAAAGACTTCTGAGAACAGAGTAGAATGAAGACGTGCTACTGAAGCCCTATGTTCAACTTGGAACCAAAGGGACAAATAAATAAATAAATTGAAGCTAAATAGCTCACTGGTGAATCCAAAGAAGTTAAGCGAGGACTGAAGCAAATATAGACGCCACGACTCAAGAGTCTTATTAGAAATTCATATGAACAGGTAATTCGTAAAGTGACAATAGTAATGTGAATATGAATATTGACGACAAGGCAAGTAGAAAGGAGTTCAAAGTGTCGAATGTGTTCTCATGGTCAGGAAGGACAACCGGAAACTTAACCTAGAATCCTCAATAAGGCTGGAATTAAGGTGGCATTAAAACGCACGTACCCGCTCGGAGACAAACTTTTGTTGGTTTAAGGATCCGATTGATTCTATTAAACAAAGTAATCTGGTATACCACGGAATAACTGTCAAAATAGCCGATCGGAGTCAGGTCGGTTGTAGGAACATAAGAATTCAGCCAAGTGAAGAATCATGAAGCCCACTAGGACCAGTCGTCTATAAAAATTCCAGTGAAAATTGTAAAATTAAGAATGTGAAGGTTGAACTGTGATCTGAGAGAATTTAAGTGATGGGGGGAGGGGGTGGGGGGAAAGGGTGTTTGCCGCTTTCCGGTTGCACACATCATGGAAGGGTGAAAGAGAAGGGTTAGTGCATGACCGCAGATTGCAATTTAGATCCGCTTGGGGTCGGTCATTCATGACTCTTTTAAAAAATTAATCGTTGAAATTGTTTTGTGGAAACCAGTCTATCAACCTACTGGCAACGGTATGCCTCAGTGTAGAGGAGAATGCGCTATTTTTTGAGCTGACTTTTTCCAACACCCTCCACACCTGTTATCGGATAGGCAGCTTCAGCGTGGCACTGCTGATCACTCTTACTGCCGTTAAGGGTTTCATGCAACCAACAGTAATATGATACTGACTGATCAGTAGTATTTTTACAAAACCTTTATTTGATTCTAGATATGACCGATCTTCTCAAATAGCTAGCTGGGTTTCCAGTTGTATTCATCATTTGGCTGTGTGAGCATTATATTATATTTAACAGTATTGTGGTATGAAATGTCATAAATTGAATTTATGCAGTTTCATTCCAAGTCTTTCTACATTCATATAACTACCTGTTATGACGTAATGAAGTCCAAAGTTGCTCCTGCACACAGACAGACACAGTAAACCTGACACAAAAGTGTATCGACCGAAGTTGTTGCTTTTTATGTGAACGCACAAGTAAGTATGGTATATCGAACTGTGATGAGTGCCAGATAGAAGAGAACCCGCGTTCTGAATTCCAATGCTAGCCACGATCCATCAATATTTATATACAAGTTAGAAGGTGATAAGGAAATGATATTTAGGATGTTTCACACAATTCTATCCCTTGACAAATTTCAATAGAGCGAGAACAACAGCTTCAGTAGAACAGCATGGATGCATTTTATTTCAGCATTTCTCATCAGCTCCTTACGACTTTAAACAAATCAAACATCTCTTTATACAAAATGTTTGCATAATAATAAATTTTGCCGGTTTGAAGGCAAAGGAAAACGTAGATATGACGTAAATGAAGACACATTAATTGCGTACATAAATGTTCAAGAAGTAATAGTTTGTAGAAAAGTAAGTGAGTTCATCATAGGTAATACAGGTCTTATTGGGATATAAGATTTATGTACCTCTAGCAAGCTGTAGGCGAGATACTTGGAGTTTGAGGCCCTTGTAGGCTGAGTTGACGCTACTGACTCGTAATCTGCTTTTCTGTAATCTAAGTCATTTCTTTGTAACAAGTATCAGTTGTAAATGTTGATTAATCGTCTAGATTTCATCTGACTGTGTACATATTCATGTGTCTCTGCATATTGGCAATGCTGGAACCGTTGTCTTGTCGAAGGTACTGTTACCATTGTCTCACTAAACACCAAATTTCTCAATTCTGTTTTGTGATTAGTAGACAGGACCTTGAACTTTGATATTGATGATGGGATGAATATGTTGGTTAGTGGTATCAAATAGTTTAAATCAACATTCTATTTCATTATTCTTAAGTTGATGATGCAAGTTCTCAAATTGGATTTCCGCATCACTATTTATGTAATATTTTTTGCCAATATGGTATTTAAAACCAAATCAAAGTAATTATGTTTCGATTCGATTGAAACACAAACTAGGTAGGTTACACAAATGACGCAATAAGACCAAGCAGTTATAATTACAATACGTATGTATATTTCAGGCAGTCCCACCAAATACTTCACACAATCTTAATTGTATGCATTTACAGTAACAGTCACAGTAGCTGTTGTAAGGCCCCAGTGTTTGCATAAAACATTGTTATCGATGTGAACATTTTTAACTTGGCATTCTCACACGCTTATACAGTATGACCAGTAGTTTATTTTCTGTCTTCATTGTAATGCAATTCGCTGATTGGTTAACTTTTACTCTTACTATGCGAATGTCTGTAATTGCGGATAAGGTTATATTTTATGTGTATACTTATTCCCGTGTTTTGGATTGATTGATTATTCCATGTCCTCAGAGCATTAAACTCTCCCATCATCTAGATTCAGTCTTCTCTCTGTTCATCCCGGGGTTGCAGTTAGTGACTCTTGCGTACAAAGTTATTGGCCAGTTAAGCGTGCGTATTATATTCGTTGGGAATATATAACCGTTGGCGTTCGAAGATATAGCAGTAGCTTAGACTCAGTTATCATTCAACCGCGACCATTAGGATTATAACGTTTGTCAAGGTCATATGGAAGATCACTTACCAATAAAAATGTGGTTAGTCGATCAGGCATCTGCTCGTGTATGAATCACCTGGCTACTTGCAAAGTGGATGGGTCATCGCCAGAACGTTTATTATGTATCTGCATAATTCATGAAACTGTTTCATTTACATTGTTACATGGATACACTTTATTGTAGAGATTTACGCTCACTCAACTTATGGCGCTGCGATTCACTAACAGCTGCAGGAATATCTTGTATATCTGAATATTGTGTGTATTTAGAAGAATTGGATATCGGTTGGTGCCGGAATATAGTATTGACTCAGGCCACCAGTTGTATTGTGCGTCTAGCTAGTCGTGCTAGGTGCCTGAAGAAATTATTTCTCACAGGAACAAAGTAAGTTGTTGTTAGCAAGGCAATTTTGTTGTGTTGTTTCCCTGCTTTTAAAATTTCCGTCCGTAGACAGATTATCTGTCATTATGAATCATTAGTTAGGAGGCTGGATTTCTACCGACTGAGTGATTGATTCGAAGCCTGCCTTCCCTATGAAGCCTACCAGCTGGTAACAACTTGAGATATGGCATTCCTTCACTGTGTAACTAATCCACATTGCTTCGGTTCAGTTTGCGTGACCAGATTGGATACAATATTCAGTCACCGGATAAGTAGCTGCTTAGGTCTATTCACTTACCTAGGAGAATCGATATCATATGGGTCATCTTTGGTGTCAGTTGCTTGAAGATGCTCCATGGAAATTATTGGATGCGTATGCGCTTTACTTTATGCATCAGATAATGATAAATGAAACACTTTTTTCAAAAATATCACACATGGTTTTGTTGTTGTTTTTCACCACCTGATGGACTAAATTCATGAGTGGAAGCAAGAGGTAGGGAGGGAGATGATACTCCCTCATCAACCACATGCACGTTACCACACTAGACAGCAAACTCCATCTGTTAATGTAAGAGTTAATGGCATTCACGGACTGCCTTAACCTGGACAACTGGAGTGCGATTGGAATCCTCGATTCACCTCAACTGCTGAGACTTAACTGAACCGTTCAGTTCCTGCATGTGATCTCAAAAGTAATCACTAACATGTAGAATTAAACAGGATATCAACTCATTTATTATATGACAATAAAAATGGATGTGATCAATTGGCTCCCTTTAAAGCCTCGCAGAAAACCTCGAAAATAATGTTTAAGAAAATTTGTGATCGCTTTGATTTTGGTGAATTCGCAAGTGGTTTGCAGTCTGTGCACGACCCACGTTGACACTTCTGACAGATGAGTGCTTTTCAACTGCTGCCAAACTGTGGTGTCAACAGAGAGGGTTTTTGTTAGATACCACCTTCCTACCTGTCAGCCAAAGTCACAAGGTGTGAACTCTGATACAAAAAGCATCATAAGTGGTAGTGAGAAACAACTCAGGCTGATCTGTAGGTTATGAATATGGATCGCGAAATCATGTGAAACATTAGCAAACTGACCATCCTTTGTAAGCTTTGCCGATTCATCCAAGTCAGCTAACCAGCCGGATTCAGCTAATCGGAACTAATTCGGCTCTTCTATCATCCAAATTTGTCCTAACACACCAAATAAGTCAGCATTGTGCCGTGAAAACAAAATATTCCAGGAGGAGTTAGTGAATTGTCTCTAGAAATACAAAGAGGAGGTTGCGTAGTCAGGGGGCATGTAAAAGAGAAATAATATGATTATTCCACTTAAGTTGCTAGCGGGAATTCGGGTGATTTGCCTGGGTTAAGCCGGAAGTTCTAGAAATCAATGTAGTTAGATGAAAGAGGGGATCGATGACTTGAATCTCTCAAGATGGTTTTCATCACAGATTGAGATGATTTGGAAGACTATTGAGAACATAAGAACACTAGACAAATGTTTTCCCCAGATCGCGACTCTTGAATATTATCCCCCGAAAATCACAAAAAGGAAATAGAAAACCAGTGGATTTCAATCATCTGGTCGGTTGATAACGCGATCATCACATGAAGGGATGATCGTGGTCATGCTCTGTTATGGGTATCATGAGTGTGTACCTCTGAAGAATTCTTAAAATAAGACGAAACAACTTTGAGTACTTCAAGTTTTTCAATGGTTTGAGATATTTAGTTCATCCTACTAATTATATAATAACAATAATAAGAAGGAAAAGAAACAGTGAAATGTGATGATGTAATTGTAAAATATTCACTTTCCCCCTAATTTGATACACTCATTGTACTTTAGTTTTGTTTTTGCACTGCTCTGCCCTAAGAAACAGAATATTACAGTAGATGTATATGAATATTTGCTTTCAGTGAGTACACGAATGCAACACTACACACTTGCACATGCACATACACACACACACACAAAGAATAAATGTGGTGTGATAAATGGTGCGGATATCATCATTATAGCTTCCCAAGGAGGCGATGTAATTGACTGTGCATGAATGATTTATCAATGTACCATTTTGCTGATTCCAACCTGATTGGCCGTTTGATGAGAGTGTATGTTTATTTGTTCACCCTAATCGGTTGACGATTAATTGAGTTGGATTCAGACAAACTGGTTCACTCTAAATATCTGTGCACAGCCAATTTGTTCACTTCCTTATAATGTCTGATAACAATATCTGAACATGACATAGACACGTTTTGCGACTGGAACTCTAGCCTAGGGAAATCGGCTCAATCTGCTTTGAATTGCGTTAATTCATGCATGAATTCCACTGGCGTATTACCAAACATTTGTCTATCCAATTTATTGTTGTTGGTGTTGTTTATTTTTTTACTATTTGTAGTTTGCTCAACTCTGAAGAACTGATTTCGGTTGGTCAATATTTAAGCTCAACTTTGGAACAGCTAGATATTCATGGGTCAACAAGCATTACCACTTGTGCAGCTGTCTCATTACTCGAACAGTGTCAACAATTAAAACTGTTAGATGTATCCTTCTGTCCTGAAATCCATTCCGGCAGTTTAATCCACCTAAGATATTTATTTCCATTCTGTACAATTATTGATTCAATACCAGATATGAATGCAGAGGTTCTTGGCAATCAATTCCCCGAAATGATTGTTGATGAAGTTGTCGACGTCGATGAGGGTGATGATGATAATGGTGCTGAAGATGGTGATAACTTCTTTGCTCAATTCATACGAGGTAGAAGAGAACTCTTAGCCCTACCAGCGCCTAACCGATTACCTGCCATAGCTGCTGAACCCTATTCATCACAAAATAATGAATAAATAAGTGGCTGATATGATGAAAAGTTACCAGTCAACTGTGAATTTGTCAGCATCATCTTTTCGAAAATTCTCCATTCTAGTCGGTGGCTATTTTATTCTTTCTGTATATAAACATACTTCTGTGTGTTATCTCACTTGTTCAGCTCCATTCTGCCTCAATAGTATCTGTGATGCTGTAGAATAATAATATAATGTATACAGAACAATTTTAATTTACTTTTCATTTCTCCGGCGTTTCACTACATAAATGCACAACAAGTGAAGTGGTTGATTTAAACAAACCAATTGAACATCTGAACAAAATGATAGCAAGAATAATAACAGTTTGTTTTTCACCTCCCTCTTCATCATCTTCGTATTGAAGAGTAAGAATCAGCGATACACTGACTGGCTATGCCATGCATACTGTGTGTTTGTTTTTATTTGACTTCTCCCTGTTTTCAACAAGAGATTATTTAAAGATAAGGGAGGAAATGCATTTCATCTTTCAGATTGGTGTCTTTCTTTTTTATGCATCGGGAGTGAAACGGGGCAAGAAAGGTAACTGGCAGGCGCGTCTTAATCAACTGTGACTGAGTTAGATAAACGCACAGCTGTCTGGAATATACTGGATTTACAATCTGATCCCGACGTAGTGGCTGGATGATAAGGTGTTCGCCATGAAACCGGTAGGTGCTAGGTTCGACCTCTGGTAGGGTCATGGATGCTCACTACCCAAAAGTCTCTTACTAGGACGAAACAGCTGTCTTATCCAATTCTCCTAGGTGTTCAGTGTTTCTCAGTGTGTGATGAATACCAGCTTGAAATGTGGTTTATGTACGCAATGGTAATGATTTAATTTTTTTCAAGAGGCCAAATTCCCTAGTGACTAACTGAAAATCACCTACATGGGAAGGATTCGTTTGGTTGTTGATCATTTATTATCATTATTCAGATCTCTTTGTTACAACAGTAACTGAGCATTCTGGTCAATCGACACATTTCATTATAAAGGCGATCATATCGAATTTCCCGGTCCTTAAGCAAATTGAATGCAGTGAAAGATAATTACTGAAGCTCAGTGACTAAACACAGACAATGATTTTATTTGATTATTGATAATTCCACCATGATAATGGTACAAAGACCACTTATTTTGTGTGGAATAGGTTTCGAACCGTCAACTCCATGATTTCATGAGATTTATCTGAAAGTAGCTGACTGATAGGTATTCTGCAAAAAAACGTCTCAATTGTATTGTTGTTTTGTCGACTTCATATATCACTGGTTGTAGTAAATACCACAGCTAAATGAAGATTAAGCTAAACAGATTGGCGTCAGAAGTTGTGTGGATCAGTGTGATGTCGTTTCTTACCAATGGCCTAATTTGGACGTTACCAGATAAACCTATTAAATGTGCTGACGACACAAATAGCCACCGATAACTTCAACACATAAAGTAGCAGAACGTCAGTTTCAAGTGTGATAACCACCTGTTGGGACATTTTTTAACACTTAACAGGACTGCTATCCTTGTCTTAGAGATAATAGAATAGCATCAAGAAATGTAGGGAAATGACAGCTACGACCAATCAACAACGACTGGCTTTTACCTTATGATCTTTAGTTCGTATTCGTTAACATTTCGACTGAGCGATCTATGCATTTTATCAAATCAAAACGTGCGTAGCAACCATAAACACGATCCTGTAGTAGGTAATGAACCACACACATCTATTTTATGAGGTTAATAATGATGCTGCCTGTGTGACCAGACCTGTATATGTGGAGTGGTGTTCGAATTCATAGCTGTTCAGATTTTCATCTCACCTTCAATCATCACCCAGTTTAAATACTAGTCTGCCAAACTATGGCTATCTTAGATAGTCAAATGATAACACTACATTGGACAAAGTGATCGCCCTCTTCATCTTCGTCTACATTTACACTAATCGGCTATTAAACGTCTCGACGTTTCATCAATCAATTCAACGCACGTGGATAACTATGGACATGAATTCAATTTCGACAATGCAGAAATTTTGGATACAGTAAACAGAGAAATCCTAGAAACTTGGCATTCAGGTCAGTCAGCAATCAATCGATGTATAAATATCAACCCAATCTATCAACCAGTGGGAAAAATGATAAACAATAGAAGGATCAGAGGTCAAGCAGAAGAACAGCCAACAGGAAAATCTCTGCAGTCAATCAATCGAACAACAATCAAAGGAAAAAACCAATCACAAACCACTTTGTCAGTGCAAGCTACTAAATCACTCAGGGACAGATATTGATAGCTCACCTCATACTGAAGTTAGTGCTGATGTTGTTGTCTGGCAAGGGGGATATAAGCTCCACAATTAAAGAAAGAATCTAGCTCAGAGAACACAATACAACCAAGGCAATATCCATTCCTTGCATCAATCTTACTTTTACCTTTGATGTTTGTTAAATTATCCTTATGCATGTCATTTCTACAAGCGCATAAGTAAACAATTCTACAACACAAACAGTTTGATGTTGTTATCGATTGTCTACTGGTCTGATATGCTTAAAGCCTCTTGCATTCAACACCTATGAAGTTATTTTAGTGGGTGAGAAGTGTTTCATGGGCACTCAACTCTGAATCCAGTGATATGTGGATAAACAATAAAAAATTTAAATTTAGTCACTAGGAATTTCCTGTGTCAAGGTGACTTCAAGATTCATCGTTAACGTGAAACTAGCTTTACTATAGTGAATATTCTGGACAGTGACCTCAGTAGTCTTCTGCTCAACATCAGAATAGCATCACCACTTCTGATGTCAAGGTGAATAATTCCTCATCAATTTTATCAAGTGAGCATATTTTTTCTGCTGTACAGAACAATGTCCGAACGAATACTCGACCCTAGTGGAATCGGCGTAATTTCTCTCCTACTCAAATCAAAGATATTTCTCTCTCAAATGCTCTTCCATGCAATCGAAATCTGTAACTCTGAATTTCAATAACTGCGAATAAGCAGCTAGTTAGAATTCTGATAGGTCAAACAGTGATTGAATTCTAAGTCACACCTACTTGAAAACCAGGACAGACCACTGTGTCAACGTTAGTTTGTTTTCAGTTAAATGTTGATTGGTCGTTGTGTGCCAACTTGTCACAGTCATGCAATGCATCTAGGTGTTAACCTAAGCAGCTCACAACATGCAGAAATAGTGAGCTGGACTGAATTTTTGGTTATCATCAGTTGAAATGAGTAGGTATATTCAGGATAAAGATTATCTTCCCAAGCAAGTGTTTGTTTCGATGATGTGTCCATATTACCAGAGAGATTTGTAAAGAAAGAAATGACATATCAGAACGCAACTTAGTAGATGGACACAAACAAGGAAAGCATACATGAATATTTACCTACTTTCGCGTAGGTAGACGTGGAAATCCAGCCGCAGTTAAACCAGCCTGAAATCAAGCTAGTCACCTCCTCCCATTGACTGAAATCTATGATCACGGATTTAAATTGTATGCCTGTGACAGAGAATGCCGAATTCTTTTGGTTGCATCCAGACTTCCATCTGTTACCTGTTTAACTTACACTCAGTCAGTTCTCATGGTTATTTGCATATCACAACTGCAGAAATATTTAAATAACTGAAAATGACCAAGATACCTCAGGAAGAGGATATTGGATTGAAACAACTGAGGCCAACAACCACAGGGACGATATAGGAGGTGAAGGCACTGGCCGAATTCGTAGTCATATGTCTGGAGTGACAAACGTCAACCATCTGCACTGGTGCAGAAACACATATGGTTGCAAGTTTCGTCATACCTGCAGCCGAACTGGTGGCTGAGACGACACTGGACTCGACTTCATCGAAAGGGTCAACAAATATTAGGGAGGTTAAGATCGTTACACAATCGAAAGACAGAGAATGTATCCAATGACGTGGTGTGTAGTGCAAGTGCGAATATGAGTGCGAGTGGTAAGAGAAATCGACTAGTGGGCGGACAACATGGCATCTGTGCATGTTCATATTTCGCAATGACATGCCATGTTATTCGTATTGCCTTAGATAAATACTAGTGGAGCAGGTGATTGTGATGTGCGTCAACTCTGCTGCCATTGCTCAAACCTTCATTTGAACGCACCTAAAATTCCCGCCTCATCGACGCCTTCTTCCTACCCCAACCACACACCACTGACTTCCGTATCAACAACTGACCCGAAAATCACGAATGTCTTCTCCACAGCTTAGACACGCCTAACACGTGATAGTAGCATACAACATGCAGCAGAACATCCTTCTCCTTATGGGCATTGAGTCAATCGGTGGAGTAACAAAACTGAATCCAGATAGTGTGTCATTAGGTATTGAGAAAAAGGAAATGTGAGCGGTGCTAACGTTGATGATGTGGGAGCTATGAATTCGTTGAATAAGCGGTGTAGCATAGTTGTGAGTGGGACGATTAACTTGCCGATGTCAAAGAGAGCCCTCAAAAGGTGTTTCCGAGGAGAGACAGTTGGAATCTCTATCATTTGAATGAGCACGTTGCGAATGCAGATGATCATCATGCGTCATTATTACGCCTCGTTTAATTGTTTATGAACCCATGCCTTATTGAAATTGACTTCTGGATTTTGAGTACTGCTCTTAACTAACTATGTGGAAACGAGGTAATGTCTCTAGTCATTCATTACTACTTCAGTGTGTACTGCTTATGACTTCCACATTTTCTGTTTTATCAACTGACTTCAACAAACCCTGTCTATTGAAAGCAAGTATCAAGTGTGCTTGCTAAACGAGTTAGGCTGGATATATTGTGTAGCGAAAGGTGAATTGGAATTCACCTATAAGTGCAATAACCAGATCAGATAACGGGAAGAATGAGAAACAGAAAGAAATGCAAGTCCCGGCGATGAGCCACCCGAATATAGAGTCGTCGGTTCAGTATACTACTGATTCTCTCGCGATAAGATAGTCATTCGAGTGTTTTCATATGAAGGTGACAGGTTGTAAGAGCGGACTGACTGAGTGGTTTGTTATTGTAAATTTTGATGTAATAGCTTGTGGGTGAGCACGTGAAGGGTGAAGTAAAGTGCGTATTAGTCAATGGAATCAGGTGCAAGATGTAGGTATGAGGTTCTGAGAGATATGTGAATGGGGCTCATTGTAACAAATTTCGGGCAAGCTCAGTCTTGGTAAAATTATGACGGTCTACGTTTTATTGATTTCTAATCAACAACTTAGGCATTCAGAAGAGATTAAAGTTCTCTCCTATTTCACCGAAGATGAGTTGTTCAAGAAGGTCGTCGTTGAATTCCAGTCGACGGAAGGTTGAGAATCGACCACGGTCAGTGATGTTGACGACGTTTCAGTGGTGTTGACGGGTGTGCTTGTGTGAGTGGCTGGGTGACTAAAGCTACTTCAGTTCTATGATGTGATGTGGTGGATGGAGTTCGCAGAAGTATGCCATCAATGAAGTAAACTATAAAGATTATCTCCTCTAATATCTTTCTTACCATGA